CTTTGGCATCCAGTGTGCGGGTACTCCTGGAATACCCAACATTCCGCATCCCTTTGGCATCCAGTGTGCGGGTACTCCTGGAAATCCCTTTGGCATCCAGTGTGCGGGTACTCCTGGAATACCCCGGACCAGTGTGGAATGTCCTGCATCCCTGTGGCATCCAGTGTGCGGGTACTCCTGGAATACCCCGGACCAGTGTGGAATGTCCCGCATCCCTTTGGCATCCAGTGTGCGGGTACTCCTGGAAATCCCTTTGGCATCCAGTGTGCGGGTACTCCTGGAATACCCCGGACCAGTGTGGAATGTCCCGCATCCCTGTGGCATCCAGTGTGCGGGTACTCCTGGAATACCTCATGCTCACTGTTGATCTCAGCTGCAGTGACTGCAGTGCAAGAGGACTGGCGCCGCAGTGGCGCGGACTTGTGAAAAGCAGGGGTACGGCAGACCCTGCGGGTTTCGGGTAGGGGTGAGGGCGGGTCCAGGTCCGGGTGCGCATCTTGCTAGCAACTTTCTAGATCTTTGTCGGCGTCGCCTTAGCTGCTCTGGCCGGGTGCTTGTGAGTTGTTGCACACAACATAGTGTATATTAAGAACAACTACACAATCTAAACCGAATCCTCAAGATGTAAGTCTACAGCAATGGGAAGCATCAAGAAAAGTAAGTCTGGCAACACGGCGCTGGGCGGGACTAAGAAATGGAGAAGAGAGAAATTAACGATTAAAAGCGAAGGGAAGGTGCCTCCTAGACGCGGGGAAAATCACGCAGCTGGCTCCTGATCGAACCAAAATCAGATAAGGCAGACACGAAGAACAATTACCACTTACCCACACCGGCTCCCCTCGAAGAATGAGAATCTTCGGTGCCGGGAGTCGCAGGTCTGCCCCACCGAACCGGGTAAATCGGCGATCTGGCCGGGTCTCCCAAACACCACCGTCACCCCAAGGAATCCAGCACAGCATCCTGAACAAGCGGAATAGGGCCTTCTTCGTCTCCACCACCTCCGCCCTCGAAAGACGGTAGGTGAGTGCCACCCAATCGTCGTAGTACCTCCGAGAAGCAAACGCTGGGTCTTCGCTTTCCCAGTCCCTGTCTGGGAAGTGGCTGTCGAACACCACCATGAGTTCCTCTTCATCGCGAACCACAATCCACTGAACTTCCGTGAAGATGTCCGATAGGCGCAGGTTCTGGAAGATACCCATGTCAGCGTTGGCGAGCTGGGCGGGGGTTAAGGCGCAGAACGAGTCGGAGCTGTGGTTGTTGCGACGCGAAGGGACCTTCGAGGGGATACCAGAGATGATGTCGTTGAGATACTGAACCCACACTTCCTCGCACCACGGCGTCAGGCCGTGCGTGAAGTGGTGTTGAGTGAGGTGCATCGGTGGAATGACGATGTCGAGCCTGTCGGTGGCGTAAGCGTGTTCGTGGTGTTGGTACCATGGTTTGGTGGACTGGGGGGGGAGGCGGAAGGTTCTGCACGAACGAACTTGCTGAACGGCGGCAGTCTCTGTCCTCGCAGCAATGGCTAGCTGGTCAAGGGAGGCTCCCATGACAGCTTCAAGAATGCGGTCGCAGATCATCATCGGCGACTCGACGAATTCTGGAGACCCATCGAGGAATTGTCGAAGGTAGAGGACATTGTACACAGATCGAGGTGCATTGTCGCCTTGCCCGATTCGATCAAAGACGGGGCCACCCAGGCCAGGGGTGTTCGATTGGGAAGTGGGAAGGAAGTAGCGAGCGTCGCCCATCCTCGGAAAACTGATCGCCGCCGTGGTGTCGATGGTGTTGGCAAGAAAGGCGATCCCAGCTGCCAGAAGGAGAGACGGCGCCTGAAGTCGGTTGTAGGGGCTTCTGGTAATCTGCAGCTCCGCAGCCATCCTCATGGCAAGCATGCGGTACGCTAGCATAGGCCTGCCAAAGAGGTTAGAACAAACAAGTGAAACAACGAAGGGAAGGTACACACCATAGCTCCTCCCTTTCTAGGACGAAAATCGCAGTGTCCAAGGCAATGTAGGGCACGTCAATGAGGAAATCCACTGCCTTCCCAATTGCTACCACCCCTTCAACACGAAGACCGACTCCTTCGGTGTACGCAGCAGCTCGGTAGGATTCGAAGGCACGTTCAAGGACCTGAATCGCGCGGCCAGTGAAAACGTCGGTGGGGGTAATGGATTCTGGGCTGGCGACAGCGTGCGTGTGGGAGAGAGACCAATACCGAAGGCCTGTCTGGCCCATCATAGTGTCGCTGAGGCGGACTTCGCAGCCAGCTGCTTGGGAGAGATGGAAGGAGGTGTGGCGAGAGTAGCTGGCTTTGTTGGTGGTCGTGATCGTGTGGGACTGGATGATGTCCACCTTGGCGAGGTGGTAAAGGAGGTCGGAATGTTTCTTGGAATTCCACAGAAAGCACTTCCCACTCGACGAAGCAATGTCCATTCCGACCCCGACGTACCAAGTACCATGCTCCCCGCTAAGAGCAGCTGCGAGAGAGAGCTCGTAGTGACTAAACGCGAGGTTCAGCCAGTCTCGGGAGGTAGCCCTGTCGCGAGCATCGTGCTGCGTCGACCGCGACATGTCTACGACCTCGTGGACAAAGAAAATGTCCCCAGCCCAATGAACGCCGTGATCTTCAAGTGACGCGCGAAGCTGGTCGGTAAAGGTGGAAATGTTGTCGTGAGGGATGGTGATAGGTGAGTCGTCTGCGGTGGCGTGCTCAATACCTAGAGCTGGGTGGATCCCGAGTCGGTAGAGTTCTTCGTACTTGTCCGCGCCGATGTTGGATTCGTCCCCGATAACCGTAGCGAAGCCAGAAAATCCGATATGAAGTCGCGTGCCAGGGCCCCAAGTGCCAATCGGGTGCGTAGCCAGGTGTACCAAGGGCTTCGTTACAACTCTCCCCTGTTTCTGGGCGTCAGTTTCAGTGTGAGCAAGGTAGGAGTAAGTCGCGCACCGAGGGTAATTTTATGTCGAAAAACAGAAATAAGTCCTTCATGGGTTCGTGGTGGTACTCGCCGAGCGGAGCGATGGTCAGGTTTCCCGACACTAACTCGATCTCGGGGCTGGAACCGATAATTGTGGTGTAGTGGCGAGAAAGAGAGAGGGGAGAATCAGACCGGGACAGGGTGGTCCCATCGAGCGTTACTCCGTAGCCGTCGGCAAACTCGGTGCTGAATCCAGAGAGGCAGAACCTCATGAACTTCTCTTCATTGACGTGAACCCAGGCCCGAGCGCGCTTGGCCCATTCGGCGACTGTCGAGTAGCGATTGGTGGGTGGGAGTGCCATTTAGAAGAGGTGAAGCGATCGGGAGTGGTGGGATGGGCAGTGGGACGTCTCAGCTGGGAGTTGGTGGGCGAAGTGAGCAAGGAGCAAGGTTGGAGTTCAAATAGGCAGGGACCCACGGCAAATCCAAAGCCCATTTTCCATTCATAACCGAACGAATCATTCGAGAATTGGTGACACCCTTCCAATCACCTGCTTTCCAGGTGTGTATGAACCCCAAACGGACCCAGCTAGTCCCTATTTTGAGCGAATGAACCCAATCCCCCGGTAAATTCTTCCCTGGTCGCCTGGTCGCATTCGATCCGCCAGCGAAACCGAAGCCTTCATGGCAATTTTGGGTGAAACCGTGCTTGTTTATTGTGCGATGAATACATGAGCTAGCTAGGAAGCGTGCGTCGGTAACAGAAAAATATGCCGTAGTCCCTGCTAGCCAAGAAACCTGTCCACACCAGCGTCCATAGTTGCCTGCACTAATCGACGAGAAATCGAGCTGGATCGCAGCGGTGATGCAGGGGGCACGATGGCGTAGTTGTGAGAGGCGAGGAAAGACCGAGCGGGAGAGGTGTTAGGGACGCCTAAGGTGGTGGAATCGGGAGCCGTGGGTTGGGAAGAGCGTCTGGTAGTCGGGAGACGCATCCCAAAAATACGATCGAGAGTCGGGAGTTAGGAAAAGAGCAGGCTGGTCCTTGGAGAGTCGAGGTGCAGCCTTTAAAGCACTCTAACAAGGTCAGTACATGTCTGGACGGTGAAGACTTCGTTTCTCACCTGTTCTGAGGGTTCTGAAGCTCGGTCAGACGTGAGCTAGGGAACGAGGAGACTCGAGAGGTGGACTTCCAAACTCCGATCGGCGGAGCAGCATCCATCCCATTCGGAGTTCTAATGTGCTCGAACTCTACCTTCCACCATCTTCATCGGCCATCGCGATGGTATCCGGAGAAACGGCGCGCATTACTCGGTCTAAGTAAGTACTCCAGTCCTCTGTTACCTTTTGATTTAGCTGATAAGGCGTAGATCTGCAGGAACAAGGCTTATTCGTCTGCCGTCACCGCAAGCACCGTCTCGAACGACGCGATCCCGAAAACCCAAAGTCGAGACTTCAGCGACGCGACCAAAATCTACGAGAAAGGGAAAGCGGGTGGTAAAGGATGAATCAGACTCAGATGGGGACTATTTGGGTGCGGCGCGCGCTCCCCGACGCCCGGTGGTCATGATTGCAGAAGAGGTACGCTCCGCCGTCTTACCTTGCTTCCTCCCAAAATAAAGTCGTGCACTTCGCTTTTTTTCGCAGCCTATTAAATATGTCACTCCTCCTAGCGAATCTGAAGAGGAGAGGCACGAGGTCTACCTCAGTACCAGAGTCTCGGACGAGGATCTCTCGGGAGATTTGGACGATGGGGTAGGAGACGATGAACCGGCACCAGTCCCAGTCCCCAGCGACCCCACCGCGCTTCTCCAAATGCTGCGATCGACCGTCCTTACAGCCTCTCAGGGCGTCATCACGACCTATGACGAGCTGCTCGAAAGAGTCAAGGCGGCATTCGAGGAAGAAAAGAGGCTCATCAATTTGCAGCTTACCGTCGTCAGCGAAACTTACCTCGCCAGAATCAAAGCCATGGAAGCCGGGCGAGCCACCCTCATGGATATTTTGCGAAGAGAGCACCCCGACCTCCTCTCGGAACCATCCCCACCGACCACTGCGCCAGGTGCCCACACTACCACCACCTCGAACTCTACCCTTCGCTCGACCACGCGCGCTTCGAACAGGAAGGCGTCTTCCTCCACCGCCCGCCCCAACGCTCGACCTTCGTCTAGCAAGGTCGTCGAAAAGACCTGATTCCCCTAGCACCTGCGCACTCCACCTTCCCGCCCGCCTACTCACCACCGCACATCGGACCGACCGCGCGATCTGCTGGATCTGCTTGCTCTTCCTTTTGCTCCCTTTTATCCCGGCACCCTTTTAGACTACAATTACACGCTCTCGATACCCTCCGTTCGCTGCACATTTTTATCTCCACCGCATATTGGACATTTTTGGCACACTGGACGTTTTTGGCGCCCGCGTATATTGGAACCATCGCGCACCTGCACTGTACTTCTTGCTATTCAATGTATTTTTATTTCTTGCGCTCCTACCGACTTTTGGCCTAAGACCTTGGTGGCTCACCGCTGCCAGAGACCGAGGTGCGGCGACCTGAGAGGCTGCCAACTACGAGTGCCGCGCAGACCATCTGACCACTTCGACTAGGCTAGCAGGTGCTCGCGCCGGGCTTGGCGGCGCTCCGATTCCACCGGTTTCGCGCTTGTGATCGCATCACGGCGGATCAAGCGTTCAGATAAAATCAGCGCGCCTCCCTAGCGAAACTCCTTCCGCGCGCCACGTCGAGCCCAACTCTGCTGCTCTCCTCGATGCCATGTTGACTCGGCTTTGGCTAGTCATCAGAATCGAGTGAAGAAAGCAGGCGCAGGTCCGATTAGAGTGCCCTGGATTCCCTCTTCCCACCCAACACAAATGCGACCGCCACCAGCACCACCACTCCCGCCGCCACCAGCACCGGCGCCCAACCCCCCCTCTCCCTCAAACCATCTTCCTTTTTCTCTCCAAGTAGCCAGGTCCCGCAACCGGCGCAAGCTGGTAGTCGAGGGCGGAGTCGCCAAAGCCAAAACCGCCGGCCAGCGCAAGTTCAAAGCCAAAGCGGCTGCCTGGCGTTCTCTTCTCGCCAGCGAGGTCGAAGCTCGGGCCTCCACCTACCTGCCACTCATCCAGACCGCGACCCCCGAATCCACCAGGCAACTGGAGGAGCTCTTCGCGGCGTTCTTCGCGGCGAACTCCCACCACCTCACCCCACCCCTCGACGCCCTCTCCTTCGCTTTCCGCGTCCTTAAAGAAAGCAAGAACGACCTCCCTCCAGCGTTTTCGCTGGCTTTCGAAGCCCGGCACTCCAACCAGCTAGCGAGGCGGAATTCCAAGAAAACGATGGGCAGGGACCACGTTTTCCTTTACAAAAGCCCCGCTCGCCTCGACCACTTCCGACTCACCGTGTCCACCTTCTACCTCCGCCGCCTCCCTAAAGGTCAAGAATATCCACCGAAGGGGTGCTTCGTTGCGGAAGGAGTATCAACCCAAACCAGCTGGGCTACGTATATCAAGAACATCGAGAAGCCCGACAAGCGCTCGAAACGAAAGCCCGTCCACCTGCTCGGCAAACTTCAAATCAAGCTAGAGATTCCGGCTGGCGTTAGCTGCATTGTCCGCGACGAAGAAACGGGGGAGGTTGTGTTCTCTGTCGTTCGGAACCTCTCTGGACTCCCCTCGATGCTCACGTTTGCTAAGGAGGTCGTCGAGCAGGCAGTCTCTGAGCGCAGAAGCATTCGGGTGAGTCGGCTTGCAATTCGCGCTCAAACCTTCATTGACTTTCTCATGTTAGCTTGAAGACGCTGGATCCCTCGTTATGTTTGGCTACTCGGCGGGGTCGAGGAGAAAGCCGGCGTTCGCGTGGGTCAAAAACCTCTTGTGCAAGCGCACCGACACCACCGAATTTAACCGCAAGGCCTCCACTATCCTCGGCTACGCCTGGCTCAGGATGAGAGCTTTCCACCCAGACCCAGTCATCAAGGACTTCGTCCGGTTCTTCAACCGCTACAACATCCCTCGCCTCGATCCCAACTGGCCAGCGTCTGCAAGCGATCGTGGACCCATCTTCCTCCCTCCTGGGTGCGGTGGCTTCGTTTACGAAGACGCTGAGAGTGCCCCCGGTTGTGCTGTGTTTGCTGAGCGCTACGCTCGAGCCGTCCACCGCGAAACACAGCCCCACGAGTGGGCTCTCTCGTGGACGACTCTCCGGACAGGAAGCGACCTGCGGGGCGGTAATTTCGTTGTCTCTTCCTACGGGCTCTTCGTCCACGCCTCTGAGGATTCGTCTATGGCTTGGAAGCCCGCCGACTGGCACACTACCACCCTTGGCACGTTCGAACCGACTTTCGACATCCCTGGCCACGAGGACGAGACATTCAACCAGCAAGGTATTTCGTTCGTCACTTCGCCTCGAGTTAAGACCACCTACCTGAAGTGGAAGGCCGCGAGTGGGTGCACTGGGTTTGAGCGCGTTCAAGCTGCTATTCGCGAACTGGAGGACGAAGCTGGGGCTGTTGGGGAGATTTACGAGTAGACTACATTAATGATAATCTTGCCATGTAATTACACTTGTCCGTAATCTGAACTCGCTTTCTCGTCCATATCAGCTCTCTTAACTTCGCGATTCTTCCCTAAAGAAGTCGAATTCCTCAATTGAAAGAAGTAAGTCGGTGCGTCTAGGCGAACGGAAAATTACAGAGCACCCCAAGCCTCAACGCGATTGCCGCACTAGCCCATTACTCGGAGTAAGTACACTGCCTGTGCTAGGATGCAATTGAACGCTCACCCAGGTCGGTTTCCCTCTAGGAACTACGAGGATCTTTGGAGCAGGCTGGGTCGGGTCCGCTCCTGGAGGCCTCTTGAACGTGCTGGGAGTCGCTCGAGTTTCCCAAATGCGATCCGCTTTCGCAAGGGGAACCCAGCGAAGCTTCTTGAAGAGTCCCCATAGCTCTCCGCGAGCTGCTTCGGCAGCTTCAGGCGTTAGGCGCTCCGTCATCTCAACCCAGCTGGGGTAGTACCGAGTCTTGCTGTAATTCTGAGTCTTTCCAATCTTCCTTAAACCCCTGGGTGGCCACAAACGGTCGAAGACCTCCCTCCACTCCTTGTCGTCCTTCGCGTGGCGCCACTGGACATCTTCGAAGGTATCCGAGAGGTTGAGGTTTCTAAACTGCTCTGCTGTGATCCTGGTGCGCTCCTCCTCATTGAGTACCGTGTAAGGCCCGTGGTTCATCCCATTCTTCGCAGTAGCAGTTCGGTTGGGCATGGTTCCGGCGAAGTCGACGAACGACTGGTTCCACAGCTGGCCCAGCGCCAAGTCAAGACCCTTATCCAGAGGGTCTTCGCTTTCGAACTCGTCGCTGGCGTCTTTCTCGATGTCGGAGCCGTCGTCGGTGTCTGGAGGTTGGATTTGGAATCCAGCGTCTTCGAGTCCGAACGTGGGGATCGGTGCTGCTGCTGGAGCAAGTGGCTGCTTTCTGCGGTTAGCGACTCGAAGTGGATTTCTTGGGACTGCGATGTTGGACGCAAGGATATCTTCGAGAAGTTCGCGGCGAGTCTGACCAAACATAAGCTTGAATGCATTGTCGGTCAGGACAATGCGCCGCCATTCGAACCGAGGGACTGGGGGTGGAGGGCTTCGAAGAGGTCGAGTAAACAGAGCTCCAAATGGAGCATGAGGAACAAGGTCGGACGCTCGGGGGACGGTCGACAGTTCGTGCGCGATCTCTTCATCGTCGGAATTGCTGCTGACTGGATGGCGAAGTCGGCTGGCCTCTCTTTCTCGCCCCACCCGCTCGGATGACGCAGCGAGCACCGCTACTTCGCTTTCAGAGTCCTCAGACTCGTCCGAGTCGACTGGCGAATTGCTCTCGCGGGGCTCGAGAGATATGGGAAATGGGAGGTGGTGCTCGAAGATGGATGATCGCTCAGCGAGAGGGAAAATTGCAGCCATGACTTCTCGCGACGCTGGCCGGGTGTCTATGGTCGAGTGAATACTGTTGGTGAGAAGAATAACGGCGGCTGCGAGAAGGAGAGCTGGTTCTTCAGTCCGAAGCCGTGGCGCGCCTGCGAGTTGCCACTCGTACAGGAGCTTTAGAGATAGAATTCGGTACGCTTTAAACCCCCTAGTTCACAAGCGGTTAGTCCCCGTGCGAGGAAAGAGGATCGTTGAACGCACCACCAAGCCCAACAGCTAAACCCGAAGGCCCCCAAAAACAAAATGTCGGGGTCGATCGCAACCATAAAGGTTGCTCCGTAGCGAATAGGCACTCGACCTTCCATTCTGAGATTGGACGGAGAGTCTTCAGCGCACCGCCGGTACACCCCATAAGCTCCGTCAAAAAAGCTGAGTGCCTTGCCGTGGGTGACCTGGTACCCGCTGATGTGCTTCCCAAAATGACCCTTCTCAGGCTGGTACGTGTGGGCCTTGTCCGTGTGGTAAGCCTGCCAGTAGTGAAGGTCGTACGATCCTCGTTGTGAAGGCCCTGGTGTGACTCGAAAGCCCGCGACTGCGGTGAGGTGGGAAGCCAAATCGACGTAGTATTTCCCGCTGGACAGTTGAGTTATCGACTTTGCTGTTTCCAGGGGAATGCCACCGACTTGGTTAAGGATTAACGCGTGGGTTTTGCGATCCCAGGCGAGGCAAGTCGTGCCATCCCCGGCGGCAACCTCCACTCCAATATCCAAGTACCAATCGCCGTGGCGACCCGAGAGGAGGCGGTTGAGGTCGAGGTGGTTACTGGCCAGCGTCTTCTCCAAAGCCTGTAGAGCGAGGTGATGGTCTTGGGCTGAGTGGTAAGTCGAGTCTTTGATTCCCCGGATCTCGTGCATGAAGAAGAAATCCTGCGCCCACTCCACCTTATTCTCCGCCAGCGTCTCCCGAAGAACATCGCTGAACTGCTCGACAACAAAATCGGGGATCTTGCGGCTGGACAAGGCGAGTGTGCCGTTCGCCATCCTAGCTCGAAACAGCTCGGTTTTCCGTGAAGCTGGGAGGTTTGATGCGCGACTCTCCATGAGGTTTCGCAAGACTGGCCGGATCCCAAGCTCGTAAAGCTCTGCCTGGCACTTTACGGACAAGGCCCAAGGGGGGCTGGTAGGGGTCTCTCGAGGAGCGTTGGGAAACATCAGGCGAATGAGGGTATGTGTACCGAATTTACCGACCCCGACGTTTGGTATCTTGTGAAGATCGACATTTCTGATGCTTCCCTGGGTGCGCAGATCAGTCTCGCGGCTCGGTTCTGCAGGGTGAGCGACTCACCTGACTGTCCCAAACGTCGTATGTGAGTTTCACATTCCTCTTCAGGGTATCCTGGTACCGCGGAATAGGAAAAATGGTTAGGTCCGCATCTCGAAGCTCGATTCTGGTGCTTAAACCGATGATGGAGTCGATGTCGCGCGTGCAGGTAAGTTCGATGTCCTCTTGCTGAGATAGGTGGTTCAAGTACGGGTCGATGGAAGTTTGGCGTCCGTCGCGCTCGTCGAGCCCAGATAAAGCGAACTGAGTGAACTTGAACGAGTCCCCATCAGGAAGATTCAAAAGTTCACCAGCGGTGTGGCAGAACTCCTCGAGGGAGTATGATGTCACTTCAGGGTCTTCAGCGCTCGACATTGGCAGTGACGTGGAAAAGGAATTGGATGAGGTGAGAGAGGTGAAGTGAGAATGACCCGACTTCCACAGGCAGGTGCGCTGGGTGTTCAAAAGGGACTTGGGCAATACCGCACCGCGCGGCAGAAGTGATGAACGATTTTGACTCGATTTCGTTCTACTCGTGTTCATGAGTTGGACCCGCCAAAGACCCATAAGGATGGATGAATGTAATCACATAGTCACCAGGTCTTTCTGCGTCGGTTTCGAATGACCTGAGTCGCCATAATTAGCCAGGTTCGATATGGACAAGGGAGATATCCTTCAAAGCCTCCCGATTCGACTGGAGTCCGCCGGCATTTGTGATACCCGATACCACCGGAGCCTGAGACGATGAATCAAGTTTTCCCTATCTGGTTTAACCCGAAATTCGTATTCTATCCTTAGACCACGTTCCCCCACTAGAGTCTCGGTTCCCGAGTCAAACTTCCATCCACAAATGTCATTGGAACGCCGACTTGAGAAAGGTACGTCCATCGACCGGTCTTGGGTACTTCTATTTGACTGAGAACGCCTCTAGACATTCATACATTTCATTTTGATTTTCACGACTGCCATTCCTAGGGGGACGTAACAGGTCACAGGCTCGGGGATCGTATATCGAAGTGCTGCTCATGAAACGTGGTCCATTCTTCAGTCGAGTCTACTCATATCTAAACTAGGCAAGCCTTGGATTTCTGCTCCCTTTTAACTTGAACGTTCGCTCACTGTGGCTCCTCGTATTTCTCTCCCGCCAATCTCCTATTCGTTCACGTCATTCGGGTGAGTCGAGTTCAACTTCTTTCGTCGCTCCGTCGCTCACGCCCTTTGGAGATGCCCACTCATACTCCCGCTAGCGCTCTCGTCATATGCTTCACGGCGGCGAAGGGTGCACCTTGGAACTACCCCAAGTGGCAAGAGCTAACCGGCGTCTACCATGGTTTATTTCCTGAAGACGACAAGCACCTTCCCATCGGGTGGACTCGACGCGACGCCGACAACGTTCGATCATACTTTACGCAGTTCAGCTCGTATCAGAAGGACGAACAAAGGCTCAAGTTCGCAGTCGTTCGCACCAAAGCGGGTCAGGATCCCATACCAGGTCGCGCATTCTTTCGCGACTGGGTTACGTCTCTGATCTCCGCCGTTTGGATGCTGTACACCCGCATCTCAAACATTCTCGATGAAGCCAATATCCACCCACTCCAAATCATGGTCGCTGCTGACAACACCGACAAGTGGCCCATGAGCAGCTACTACATCCCCATGGTCATCGACAAAGTCGGACTCGAGCTCTTCGGTCCTGAAGCTCTAGGTCCGACTGGACTTCTCCCAGACGAACTCCGCGCAGTTGTCGGCATTTTTATCCAGCGCACCTGGGTCGTCGTCAAGCGTTCGTCGATGAGGAAGATTAAGAATTTGAAGGCCTACGAAATGGATGCCGAGCGCGCTCTTGAAGGTGAGTTCTCGACCTCTCTTTCCCTCCCTCCTAGATGCTAAAAGCGTCCTTGCCAGCTCTTTCGGAGGCCTCGGTCACACCGGCAAGGGTCAAGAAGACGCTTAGGACCGTGTCAAGATTCAAGGAACTTGTCGATCTCTGCGGTACCTCATCGGCGCGCTCGAAGGTCAAGATCATGAACCAGAAGATGGACGAATTCATTGCGGAGCTCCACACGCAAGTTGCTCCGAAGTCTAAGGTGGATCAGAAGAAGACTGGTACGTGTGCTTTGCCATCTCTTCAGGTTTTCGCGCTCACCGTTGAACGCTGAACCTTCTCCAGTTCCTCCAAAGTTCGCTTCGTCCAAGTCCCTCGCCCAGCTTGCCACTGCCAACGACGTGGCCGAACTTCTCGACCTTTACGACTCCCTGTTCGGAGAAGGTACCGATTCAGCGCCCGAGCTCGCTGGTGGGTCCCTTGCTGGGGTGCGATTTGGGGAACCTGTAGACGGAGCAGACCCTGGTGTTGAGGTAGAATCGGGAATGTCAGGAAGCCAGCTCTTTCACAACCTCGATTTTGACGGCGGCACCCCCTTCTTGTTCAACAAGCAACGCCATCGCGACGGACTAAGCCCCTGGGAGACCGACTTCGACAAACTCAAGATCGACAACCCATCCGCCCTCGAACCTCTCAAGCTCCACTGGCATCAGGGCGCTGGCGTGCACAGCGTCATTCGCCATATCTTCCACAAGGACCCATCCCCAGCTCATCCATCCGGAATTCTTCTCGCAGACGACGTTGGCATCGGCAAAACCATCCAGTCCGCTGCAACCATCGCCTTTCTCGCTAATCTCGCTCTGCGCCAAGAGCGAGGCCTGACTTTACCTCCCATTATCCGTGAGTATCTTTCCTCGCATGCGGTGGACAGTGCTAACCCTTACTTCTCGAAGGTGATTTTCCCCACCTGAAGGATTTCGCTACCCTCCCTGCCCTCCCTCACCTCATCCTAGTCCCACCAACCCTCTTGGGCCAATGGGAACACGAACTGAAATGTTATTTTCGCCCCAAGTCCGTAGAAATTCTCGTTTATGGGCGCAACGCTTCGGAGTCGGGGAGCTTTTGGAGTGCGGGTGGCCCTTTCCAGTCCTCGAAGCACCACCCCGCCCATAAAATAATATTGGCTTCTCAAACGGTACATCCACCCTCCATCCACTTCACCTCACTGCCAGCCGCTTACATCCCTCGCTAGACTGTCCAGCGCGAGTTTCGATCTCTCTACTCGGGTAACCGCCCCCCCAAATCGCTGCCCTGGGTTACCCCCGACAAGCTGCCGGGATACGCGTCAGCCGCCGGCTCCACACTTTTTGGTCGCCAGTACCTTACCGTCGTCTTCGATGAGGCTCAAGGTGCTCGCAACACGGGTCAGAAGCATTCCTCAGCGCTCCAGATTCTAGAGCAAGCCCAAGTCCGATTGGTCCTCACAGCCACTCCACTTCAGACGTCAACCAAGGTGAGCTGGCCTGGCCCTGCCGCAAGTGTTCCAACTTACGCCATGTGGCTAGGATATCTCAGCCATGGGGCGCATGGTTGGAATCCCACACTTCTTTCAAAGGGAGGCGTACGAAGAAGAAAGGGCAGATGCGAATGCTCTTCGCCGAGCGAAACTCGAGCGAACTGAAGATTTCGACGAGGAAGATGGCGACGACCCCGTTCGCAGTCTCCAAATCGTAATTTCCGCCCGCCTCCAAGCCAAGTTCCAAGGTCTTCTCATCAAGAGAGCTCCCGACAGCCTGGATTTCGAGGGAAAGCCACTTATCGCCCTTCCACCGCTTCGGGTGATCCACGGGCTTGTTAAATTGACTGAAAGAGAGCGAGAGCTTATCGAAGAAGTCACAGAGCACGGACTCGAGAGGTGTGTTGCTTTCGCCACTTCATCCGCATTGGCGCTCACCTCTTTCGCAGTGCCTCTATCGCCAACAGTCGCAACATTACCTCCAGCAGCTTTTACCTCGCCCACCGCCAGACCGTCACCTTCGCTCGGGAGGACCCAAACGAATCTATACCCGAATTCGAAACCCTTGAAGCCTGGGAGGAACGGAAGTCCACGAAGATCGATACCGTCGTCAAAGTTGCGAAGTGGCTCACCTCGCGAGACGACGCCCCTATCCCGGAATTCCACGAGGGAGAAGTCATATATCCGGACCCACCCGCTTCCTCGACGTTCACCCGCAACAGGAAGGTTCTTGTTTACCAAGAGTTCCCCTCGTTTACCGGCCTTGTACGCAACGTAAGTTCTCTGGTTAGGATTTGCCATGGCCTTCGGCACTCACTTGCCCGCAGATTTTCCGCCTTCACGGCGTCAAAGTGCTCGCTATCGACGGTGCGACCCCCATCGACCAGCGCTCATCGATTGTCGCAACGTTCAACACCGACCCTGAGTACCGCGTTCTCATCTTCTCCAAAGTGGGTGCCACTGGCCTCAACTTGACTCGAGCCAATGTCGTCCTCTTCCTTGTAAGTGCTCGAATTGCTTCACTCCCTCTTCCGCTTCGCTAAGTCTTTCTCCCAGGACCAACCTTGGTCTGCTCAAGACGAGCGCCAAATCATCGGTCGGGCTTACCGCCAGCGACAGACCCGCGAGGTCACCGTCATCCATATTTTGGCCGAAGACACAGCTGATATCACCCTCTCGCTGCTCGCAAGAGGGAAGAAGGACATGCTAGACGCTTTTCTTAACCTCAACACCGAAGTTTCTCGCAGTCAGTTATGATGTATCCTCTGCACAACTTGCTGCTGACGTCCACCCAATCAGATCTCTCGCGCGCGATTACGGGCGAGTTCATCGTCGCCCCCGAAGACACCAACGACGCCGACATTCAAATCGATGGCGACGAAGACTCCAGGCGACCAAAGAAGAAATCGTGCAAGAAGAAGCTCAAGAGTTCTGGTGCAGATCCCGCCAAATCAAGTTCGAAGGTCACCGATGAAAGTGACTCCAGCCAACGCAAGAAGAAGAAGAGAAAACCGAAGAGTTCCAGTGTGGTCGTCGACGACGACGGAGACGGTGGTGATGGTGGCGGCGCTTCCACCACCGACGGTGCAGCTACAACCACGGATCTCTCGATGGACGCCTCTTCTGAATACCTCACTGACCTCTCCCTGTCCATTCCACCCCTCACTGCCAGCGGTACGCGTCCGATTCTCTTTGCTCCGCCACCACCTGCACTAACCTGATTCATATTTCACCAGAACCCGAAGACGAAGCAACCAAAGCTCCTCTCGTGGACTACCCAAGCTCCCCCGAGCATCGTGCCGCCCCTTCATTTGGCGAAGAACCGGCGGTGGACGATATCGGTGCCCCTCCACTCGCGCCTCAACGTCTTGAAGGACCATCCTCTCCGCCCACTCGCAAGCGCGACAGAATCGTTTCTCGCACCGCCGCCTCTCCTGGTAGGCTCCCTTCCCCATTCTACGTTTCCGCGCGTCTTTCTCATCTGTACAAGCCTCTCAGTCGCCGAGCTCTAGCTCCCCTCCCAAGCCTAAGAAGCGAGCGAAGGTGTCTAGTGGTGGCAGTCCTTCAACTGGAAAGGGCGACTTTGAGCGGCGCACCAATTTCTTCAAGCTTCCAAATGCCCCAGTCACCCACAAGTACCGTACTGGCGCACCAGATCGCCCTCTTCTTCAATCTTCACCAACGAACCCGTTCATTTCTCCCCCCATCGCCGAGAACCCCGGCAAAGCTCAACCTCGCTCACTGCCCCCCGCACCACCTGCGAATGCAGGGGCTGAACCCAGTGGACAAGGCCACCCGAGCAAACACAACCCTCGTGAGTCCGTCTCTTTGACGAAAGCTACCCCTCCTCACGATACGCTTCGCAGACATTCCACTGAGTCGCAGAGCAGCCCCGATGATTCGCAGTGCATTCTCATCGCCGTCGCTTCCTCCAGTAACGCCCCCTGCGCTCCCTAACCCTGGCTTGTCCCACCCCCACAAGCCTCGCAAGAAAGCCACGAGGGACTGAGCGCGCCCCAGTAAACAGTACGACCCGGGCTTGCTGCAAGTTGATGCTGCTACTGCTTTTTGTCTACCACTTCCAACTTGTATGCCACTCTCAATAATCATATCTTCTTTTCCCATTCAGCCCTTTACTTCCCGGAACCAGGGAGATGAATTGATTACCATAAGTTCCACAAGAAAACATTTTATTTTTGTATACATCTCGCAAAAGAACAACATTGTTTGTGCTATGTGCAATCAATCGGTGCTGCTGGGGGAAAGTCGAAGGAGCCACTGCGATTCGGCGAGCGTTACCGTTCAAAATTATGAGGTTTTGTGCAATCGTCGGGAGGCATACGTGCGAGAAGGCCGAAGGGATGGGTGAACGAGGGTGGTTACGGCGCTGGTTTTGATGAGCGAGCGCGCCTCCCCAAACATCTTCGCGGTCTTGGCCAGGGCGTCGTTTCCCAATGACATCGCGTGCCGACGGTCAAGATCGATGAGCTCCTTTCGCTTTCGGTACTCCCTTTCCAGATTTTTGAGTTGCGATTGGAGGTCGGCCTTCTTCCGTTCATATTCATCGGTGTTCGCAGACTGGAGCTGTGCGAAGTATTTGTCGTTGTTCTTGATCGTGTCCATGAACGCGATCTGGAGCGACCTCGACACCTCGTTGCTTTGCTTGTAGGTGGTCCTGTAGATGTCGAGGGCCTGGTGCGAAGCTGGACTGACGCTGTGGTCCTGGATCCCGGCGAGAGCAGTGCCAATGGAGTAGCCGACACCACTCGTAACGTACCAGTTGACGCTCGTAGGAGTTAGAGGTCGTCCAGGGTCCCCTCGCGCTCGACTCCCCAACCCCTCCACCTGCACTCCAACCTCCATCCTTCCACTGGGCTCTTCCCGCTCTTCCCTAACCCTCCCATGGCTCGTATTCCTCGTCTCTGTGAAATCGTCGACCTCCGATGCCATCCCACCTTCCTCCTTGACCCTCACGTCGCAACACTTCTCATTCGATCGAGAATCCAGCACCGGTTTTGGGGGCGGTAGGTCGTTTGTAGGCGACGATACTCGAGAGCTCGTCGATGCAGGAATGTTGGGTGGCTGGGGGCTTCTCGACAATGGGTGTTGTGGAATCGTCGAGCTGGGTGGTTGGCTCTTCGCAGGCGTCAAGTTTCCAGGATCCACCGCCGCCAGGGATTCGCGATTCCTCGGTAGCTGAGGTGGCTGAGCGGTCGATCCAGCCAGGCTCAGGCTCGAGCTCTACCGCGACGTCGTCATCGGGCAATCGAAGGAAGAAGTAAACACGGAAACTCACTTGTAAGCCGAATAAAACGCTCCTGACATCAACTTCGACCAAAGGAAAATCCCCGACCAGGCTTATCGCGGGTGGAGGAGGGTCAACTTTCTCGCCAATCGTTTCCACCACCTTCAGGTCGAACCCCGTCATTCGATTGCCATGCTTTATCGCCGTGGGTTAATACCTCATTCTGACGCCCACAGAAAAGGTTGAGCTCACCGTGACTGGTCGTACGCGTTCCTCGGCAACCAGGGGTTCCTTTTTGGGCTCCGAAATCTCCAAAATACTTCTCCCTGCCCCCGCCAGAATGCCATCACCAAGTGTTCCCGGTCTTCTGACGCCGTCGGCTTCGGCAGCTCGACGTCTCGGGGGAACGGGAGAATCGGTGAGCTTGATGCGTTTCGAACCCCGGCTCAATGATGGTCCTGGTGCTTCTTGTGGTGCAGATCTCTTCTTAGGGGATGGTCGCGTCGGTAGGGGTGGTCGCGTCGGTAGGGGTGGTCGCGTCGGTAGGGTTGGTCGCGTCGGTAGGGTTGGTCGCGTCGGTAGGGGTGGTCGCGTCGGTAGGGGTGGTCGCGTCGGTAGGGGTGGTCGCGTCGGTAGGGGTGGTCGCGTCGGTAGGGGTGGTGGAAGGATTTGACTCCGCTTTGGAGCCTCGGTGCGAGCATCCGATCTTCGCGGCGATTGTGAGGATTCCACTGAACTGGTCGCTCAAAATCAGCAACACCCCACCTGCAGATACAGTAAACTCTTACCTTTCATCCGAATCCCCAATTCCAGGAGACATAGAGGGTTCCTTCAGAGTAGTCCAGGTAGACATGGTGTTTGGCCGAATTGAAGGTTCGATCCCCAGCGCCCACGACTGATGAGTCGGAGTTTTAATTCACTTGATTCCTTTCACCCTCTCCCCACCACACCCGCACGCTTCATTGTAGGCGATAGTGTGCCTACCAGGTGCCAGTGCTGGCCACATATCGATATCTCAGCTATGGATACAGTACCTGAGGCCTGGTACGTCCGAAACCCCCTTGAAAGTCTGGAATCATCTCACATCGTTAGGTGCGCAGGCTCTAGAACCGAGACTTGGACATTCCTACTCGCGCTTCAGCTTTAACATGTCCACTCCATGACTGCACTGTCCTCGGACGTTGAGCGTTGAACGCTTCGGTATACACCTGTAAACCGCTCGCCTCGGTCGAGGAACTCCAGAGAGATAGCATTGCCCACTTCACTCCCAGGTCAGTCGTCTGCAATCGCCTTCGCCTCTTTTCTGTCACTTAGGGCCCCCTTTTCAGGTAAACAATCGTTTTCAAGAGCACCTCGCATACACTCGTTCTCCAATGTGGCCCACCTCTTCCTATTCACCTCGCGACCACCCTCATATTCGTCTCGACCACGACCATCGGTCCATCCGACTCAATCCTCGCTATTCACTATCCGCCACCCAAGCACCTCACTGGGCCCGGACGTTTCACTTGAATATCGCGTCCGAAACCACTCGTTCCAACCAAGGAGACGTTTCGTCTACCTTGCCATCGCGGGATAGGTGAGTAGCCCCGAATGGCCATCGTATGTCTACTGCAACCCACGGGTCCACTTTCTAGGTGAATGCGGACAACGACCAGATATCCAAGATCAACAACGCTTCCAAAACGCCGCGACAACCTCGCCAAACGATCCCTCGACCTGCCGCCCAAGCTGACCCATGGACCTGGCTCACCTCTTCCGATTCACATTTGCCTGGGGGCACGGGGAGGTGCACGTTTGAACTTCCTAGTGAGGATCAGCTCAGGTATCAGCGAATCCACCTGTAGGTTTCGTCTCTGACCTCGCGGCGGTATGCTGAATCGTGTGCAGGATGTGCGGTCACCACGTCTTCAGGCCAGTCATTCCAAAAACCGGACAAGGGGGTTCCTGAGGAGATCGCCAAGGAGAGCAGCCAGACGTCTGTCGGGACCATGCCCGATGGCGTCGTGTCGTTGCTCAGCGTCGACTACAATCCTGGTATGCAGCGCCCGCTTGGCGGGGTTCCACTTCCTCGTGTCGTCGCACTAACGTGAACTTGAGGACATAGCTCGCCATTCACGGAATGATCACCCCTCAATTCTCCTCCGAAAAAACACCTTCCACAAGTCGTCCGCACGCCCGTCGATGATGTCAAGGCTGTCAATGACGCCGCTGAGATTGAAGACTTCAGGCAGTCCCATATATGGAATGGAGCTCTCGCTCGATACTTTCGCGTGCCTCGAGGAGAGGGGGCGACTACCTCCTCCGACTGGGACAAGAGTGGTATTCCCGATAAACCTCTCGTGCGCTGGGCTGACGATGACATCCAGTCATTATTCCCTGCTCTCCTGATCCTCAGGATTTCCCGCTCGCAAGTCTCGGAGACTTCGGATGCCAGTACCGCGCCTTGCTGATCGCGACGTGAGCCTGCGCCAAAGGTCTTGAACTCACCATCGAACTTCAAGACCCTTTGGCTTCTCCGCCGCTCCAGGGTTGTCTCGCACCCTAATGGGTACTCGATGTACCCCAGCTAAAGTAAGTTTCCGAATTTGTTCCTTTTTACTGACATTTCTGTAGTCTGCAGCGACGATCTTTCCCATATGGCTTTTTCGATCCAATAGGTTCTCCTCGACGCGTTTTCGACCACCTCGCAACCTGGAGGTACCAGAGCACCCCGGCAACCAGCTGCTACTCGACTTCTACGTTCCGCCCTCGGTTGAAATTTTCGCTGTATCGTTAGTTTTCCGGGACTGCGCGTTTTCGAGCTTTCGTGCTCTTTTTCATTTAACGTGCGTCCCTCGATATATTTCTCGTGGAGTTTAGGGTCAGTTCGGCTGCCATTCCGCCAGTTTTCTGCACCCTTCTCTCCCATAAGAGAGACATCCCATCCGTCGCTTTTAGCTCGTGTATTCTTCGTACTTTCCCAATCACCATCGCCTTTACCGCTTTCTTTCTCTTGTTCCTCTTCTCCTATGCAAAAATCGGTCTGCGTGAGTGCAAGGCACCGCGCTCTCAAACCAAGGTAGGTGGTCCAACATTTTATCTTCCTGAACTTTCTAAATGCAAGCGCTGCTAGGTGATGTAATTTCGCACCCCTGCCCGCATTCGCCCAGGGTACTGACACCCTCCCCCACGGCAACAAAGGCTAATGTGCGAGTTCAATATCTTCAATTTTGTCGAGGGCGTGATGGCATGGAGGATCGCAACCCAGTTCGAATCGACTGCTCTGCTTCCTCACACGCTGATCCCCACCCCGCACGTCAGTCTCAAAGGTTGCTGGAGGTTAGGTCCCCAATTAGGTGGCAGGCCCTAAGACTGAGCGAGCTTACCATTTACTAGGGCTGCGTGAATACGCCCCGACCGGTTGTAGTGTCCAAGTATCAATATTCATTCTACTACACTTGGTTTTTTGTAGTTATAAGACAATCGAGTCTGTTTAATTGAATTATATGTCTAATTATATCTCTAAAGAAATGCGGCAAAACCCTCGATTTCTCGCGGTGAAGTGGATTGGGGCAAACGACCTGGACACCATTCCTTTATAAGTTTTTCTGTCCTCATGGACCCCCACGCCTTAGCCCTGTGGAGTGTACATGTCCTGCCGCTCACTCTGGGTATTCTGGGAACACCCAGTGTTGGGAATCCTAGTCCCGTCTGTCACTCTGGGTAGGGCTCTGGGTACTCTGGGAACACCCCAGACTACGCCTTGTGTCCCATGTTATTCCGATGGCATGGTTCCTAGTCCCGCCTCTCACTCTGGGTATTCCGAGAACACCCGGTGTTGGCATTCCTAGTCCCGTCTCTCACTCTGGGTATTCCAAGAGCACCCGGTGTGGGGAGTCCATGTCCCGCCTCTCACTCTGGGTATTCCAAGAGCACCCGGTGTTGGCATTCCTAGTCCGTCTCTCACTCTGGGTATTCCGAGAGCACCTGGTGTGGGGAGTCCATGTCCCGCCTCTCACTCTGGGTACTCTGGGAACACCCCAGACTACGCCTTGTGTCCCGTGTTATTCCGATGGCAGGGTTCCTAGTCCCGCCTCTCACTCTGGGTATTCCGAGAACACCCCGGTGTTGGCATTCCTAGTCCCGTCTCTCACTCTGGGTATTCCAAGAGCATCCGGTGTTGGCATTCCTAGTCCGTCTCTCACTCTGGGTATTCCGAGAGCACCTGGTGTGGGGAGTCCATGTCCCGCCTCTCACTCTGGGTACTCTGGGAACACCCCAGACTACGCCTTGTGTCCCGTGTTATTCCGATGGCAGGGTTCCTAGTCCCGCCTCTCACTCTGGGTATTCCGAGAACACCCGGTGTTGGCATTCCTAGTCCCGTCTCTCACTCTGGGTATTCCGAGAGCACCTGGTGTGGGGAGTCCATGTCCCGCCTCTCACTCTGGGTACTCTGGGAACACCCCAGACTACGCCTTGTGTCCCGTGTTATTCCGATGGCAGGGTTCCTAGTCCCGCCTCTCACTCTGGGTATTCCGAGAACACCCGGTGTTGGCATTCCTAGTCCCGTCTCTCACTCTGGGTATTCCAAGAGCATCCGGTGTTGGCATTCCTAGTCCGTCTCTCACTCTGGGTATTCCGAGAGCACCTGGTGTGGGGAGTCCATGTCCCGCCTCTCACTCTGGGTACTCTCGGAACACCCCAGACTACGCCTTGTGTCCCGTGTTATTCCGATGGCAGGGTTCCCAGTCCCGCCTCTCACTCTGGGTATTCCGAGAACACCCGGTGTTGGCATTCCTAGTCCCGTCTCTCACTCTGGGTATTCCGAGAGCACCCCGTATTGGCATTCCTAGTCACGCCTCTCACTCTGGGTATTCCGAGAGCACCTGGTGTTGGGAGTCCATGTCCCGCCCAGACTACGCCTGGTGTCCCGTAGTATTCCGATGGCAGGGTTCCTAGTCCCGTCTCTCACTCTGGGTATTCCGAGAGCACCTGGTGTGGGGAGTCCATGTCCCGTCTCTCACTCTGGGTATTCCAAGAGCATCCGGTGTTGGCATTCCTAGTCCGTCTCTCACTCTGGGTATTCCGAGAGCACCTGGTGTTGGGAGTCCATGTCCCGCCCAGACTACGCCTGGTGTCCCGTAGTATTCCGATGGCAGGGTTCCTAGTCCCGTCTCTCACTCTGGGTATTCCGAGAGCACCTGGTGTGGGGAGTCCATGTCCCGCCTCTCACTCTGGGTACTCTCGGAACACCCCAGACTACGCCTTGTGTCCCGTGTTATTCCGATGGCAGAGTTCCTAGTCCGGCCTCTCACTCTGGGCATTCCAAGAACACCCGGTGTTGGCATTCCTAGTCCCGTCTCTCACTCTGGGTATTCCAAGAGCACCCGGTGTGGGGAGTCCATGTCCCGCCTCTCACTCTGGGTACTCTCGGAACACCCCAGACTACGCCTTGTGTCCCGTGTTATTCCGATGGCAGAGTTCCTAGTCCGGCCTCTCACTCTGGGTATTCCGAGAACACCCGGTGTTGGCATTCCTAGTCCCGTCTCTCACTCTGGGTATTCCAAGAGCACCCGGTGTGGGGAGTCCATGTCCCGCCTCTCACTCTGGGTACTCTCGGAACACCCCAGACTACGCCTTGTGTCCCGTGTTATTCCGATGGCAGGGTTCCTAGTCCCGCCTCTCACTCTGGGTATTCCGAGAACACCCGGTGTTGGCATTCCTAGTCCCGTCTCTCACTCTGGGTATTCCAAGAGCATCCGGTGTTGGCATTCCTAGTCCGTCTCTCACTCTGGGTATTCCGAGAGCACCTGGTGTGGGGAGTCCATGTCCCGCCTCTCACTCTGGGTACTCTGGGAACACCCCAGACTACGCCTTGTGTCCCGTGTTATTCCGATGGCAGGGTTCCCAGTCCCGCCTCTCACTCTGGGTATTCCGAGAACACCCGGTGTTGGCATTCCTAGTCCCGTCTCTCACTCTGGGTATTCCGAGAGCACCCCGTATTGGCATTCCTAGTCACGCCTCTCACTTCTGGGTATTCCGAGAGCACCTGGTGTTGGGAGTCCATGTCCCGCCCAGACTACGCCTGGTGTCCCGTAGTATTCCGATGGCAGGGTTCCTAGTCCCGTCTCTCACTCTGGGTATTCCGAGAGCACCTGGTGTGGGGAGTCCATGTCCCGTCTCTCACTCTGGGTATTCCAAGAGCATCCGGTGTTGGCATTCCTAGTCCGTCTCTCACTCTGGGTAGGGTTAGGGTTAGGGTGGGTGGAGAAAAAAGTCGAGCGAAGCGAGACTTGAAT